GAATTATCTTCTTATATATTTGAAGAAGATTTTCAAAATCGTAAAGATGTTGAATCTACGGAATTGAGAGAAAAAGTTATAAAATCAATGTTTTCTAAAGTTTATTCCGTAGGTAAATTTGAAAAAATTCGATCAATTTCTAAATTATTATTTTCCAATAATTCTTTTGATAAAAATCAGTTAGAAATTATTAGTCAAGAAATTCCCTATTGGTCTTGTAATGAAATCCCTGTTCTTTCGGAAATATTAATTAAATTAGGATTATCTAATTCTCATAGTGAATCAAAACGGTTAGTAGAGCAAAAAAAATGTATTTATTGTTTTAAATATCAATGTAAAAATCATAAAGAAAAATTAGATATAAATAAAGGAAATAATTCTTATTTTTTAATTAAAAAAGGAGAAAAAGAATTTGGTATTTTTCAATTAGTGAGTTAGGATTTAGAATCTAGAAAATGATTCTTTTAAACAAAATAATTAAGAGAATATTATCTCAAAAAATTAAACATAATTTTTTAGCCAAAATGATAGGAGAGAAAGAGATGGATTTAATATTTTCTGAACTGAAATATGAATTCGTTCAATCAGATGTCAATTTCGAGGTTGCGACTAAATTTTTTCAAGATATTAGAGATGAAATTAAAGCTGAGCACAAGATTTTTATGGGAAAGGAAGAAGTTCAGCTCGCCATTTATAGGAAGATTAAAGAAAAATTAATTGAATCGTTGGGAAGACAAGCTCAACCTCTTAAATTGAAATCCAAGGGCCGAACAAAAATATTATTAGTAGGAGTCAATGGGGTTGGAAAAACAACAACTATAGGTAAATTAGCATTTTATCTTCAGACTAAAAAGGGGATAAAAAATATAGAAGCTGTCTGTTTAGATGCTAGTAGAGCAGCAGCATTTCAGCAACTTCAACAATTGGTGTCTTCTTTGAGGTTATCTTGCTATTTTGTTCCTGAAATTGAGGGAGAAAAAGGGATTAAAAATTTTGAAAATTCTTTTGACTCCAAAAATATAGAAGTTACTCTCTACGATAGTGGGGGAATTCTTCCCAAAGATGAAAACAGTTTGAGTTATCTTAAAAAATTATGAGAAATTATTAAACCTACAGAAACTATTATGGTTTTGGATGCGCTCTCCGGACAGGAAAGTTTGGATATGGTGAGATTATTTCATAAAAGTATTCCTTTAGATAGTCTAATTGTGACAAAGTCTGATTCCATGTCCCCTCTCGGTGCAGCTTTATCTGCTCATTATTTTTACGGATTACCTATTAAGTTTTTAGGTGAGGGCGAGCATCTTCAAGATCTAGAAGTCTTTCATCCTGATAGAATTGTTTCACAGCTTTTAGGGGAAGGTGATGTGGCTGGTTTGGCAGAGAAAATTCAAGAAAATACTCAACCCTCAAATATATTGAAAGCAGAGAATGCCATTTACAAATTTTTAAAAGGTGATTTTGATCTTCAAGATCTTGTTGTTCAGATGAGAGAGATCAGAAAAATAGGATCTTTTGGAAGTATTGCTAAATTTTTTCCCAATTTGGGAGTTTTTTCTCAATTACTCTCTAGTAAAACTAATGAATTAGAAGAAGAGTTTAGGAAGTGAGAGATTTTAATCCAATCGATGACGATGGAAGAACGAAGAAATCCAAAATTATTTAAAAAAGAAAGCAGTAGAAGATCTAGGGTAATTAAAGGTTCAGGCAGGAAGCCTGAAGAATTAAATAAATTACTTGCTCGCTGAGAAGTTACTAAAAAGAAAGCCGAGGAAATTGGAAATAAGATATTGAAAGGAGGTGCTGATATATTTCATCTCTTTAGCGAGATGAAATAATTTTTTATAAAAACAATATATAATAACTAAAGAAGGAGAATGTAGCAATAGCTCAATTGGGATAGAGCACAAACCTTCTAAGTTTGCGGTTGTAGGTTCGAGTCCTTCTTGCTACGCCATTATTAGTTAGTTTGCCCAAGTATGAGATTATGTTCTTGTTAGACCCCGATTGCAGTGAAATGGAGTCAGAAAAAGAGGTAGACCCTTTGTTATCACTATTCAAAAATGAAATAGATTATAGGATGAATTTGAAATGAACTGATGAGTTAGCTTATCCTATAAAACATAAAAAACAAGCACATAGGTATTTATTAAGCTTTTCTACTTCAGATATTGAGAAAATAAATGAGTTTCGCAAGTTAGCTTTATTAAATCCAAAAGTATTAAGACATCTGATTATTAATCAGGAAAAAACTTATGGTTACAAAAGGAGTATTAATCCTAAAAAGAGAGCGGTTGCAGAAAAAAGATTTCAAAAATATCAAGAATATAAAAGAAGACGACAAAGAGCTAGTGATAGAGCGCAATTTAAACCACCGGTAAACCCTCTTTAGAGGGATTAAATTTTTTATTTAATTGCTCCCTAGAGGTTATCTTATAGGGAATTTTACTGCAGATCCAGTACCTGGAATTACAAACAATTCATTAGATTTTTCAAGATTTTCGGTGGCCTGTAATGAAAATTACACTAGAGCAAATCAAGCTGCAAAAACCCATTATTATCAATGTATTGCTTGAGGAAAAAGAGCTCAATATATTTCTACCTATCTTAAAAAAGGAGATAGTGTTTTCATAGAATATACCCTTTTAACTAACAATTACACAAATATAGAAGGTAGAGTTATAAAGAGAATAGACTTACAAGTTGAAAAAATAGAAATGTTATATCAACGATTAGGGAAACAATTTGCGGCTAGTAATGTTACTGGAGAATCTAATTTAGAAGATAAAGAAATTTTGAGAAGTCAAGAGATGTTAGTAGATAATACTACAGAGAACGTAGAAGATAAGGATAATCCTAAAGAGGAGGAAATTGATGTAGATTTATCAGAGATTTACAATACAGAAACTCCTGCAAAAGAATAGTATGGTTTTTCTTATGGAAGAGAAAATAGAAGTTGAGACTCCTAAAGATGATAATTTAGTAAATTCTGAAACTTCTCCCCCTATTGAAAGTTCCTCCGTTCCTGTTAGACCCCCCAGGGGAAGGTCTGATCGTAAGAGAAAATATCATAGACATAAAAGACAATGTTGATTATGTAGACAAGGACAATTATTAATAGACTATAAAGATACAGACCTCTTAAAAAATTATCTTCGAAGATACAACAGAATACTAATTCATAAAGTATCTGGAAATTGTTTAAAACATCAGCATCAATTAGCTCAAGCAATCAAAAGGGCTAGATTCATAGCGTTATTGCCATTTGTTCCGGAATAAAATAGATTAGTTTAGTTTGTAGAACTCAGAGTTATTCCTCCTAAATGAGGGAGGAGTATCTCTTAGAAGAGGGGGGAGGTTTTGACTCCGAGATATTAAGGGCAGAAAAAGCCATTTTGGCTTCTTACATATATAACTATCCAGAAGTTATAAATTTCTCTGAAATAGAATCGATTTCTCCAGAATTTTTTCAGAATCCGTATGCTAGAACTATTTTTTCGACTCTTTCAAATATTGAAGTGCAAAATGGAAAATTTGATAGAGTTCTGATTTATGAAGCATTAAAACAGGATTCCAAAATAAACCACCAATTTTTAGAAGATTGTGATAAGTTTCTCGAAAACTTACCTAGAGGAACACATTATTACAATTTCAGAAAATATTTAGAGATTTTGAGAAATAATTGAATTAAAAAGGAATTAAATAATCTTTCAAGGGAGATTATTCAGACTAAGTGAAATTTAGAGAATGTTAATGATTTATTATCGAAGTGAGAGAGATCATTTTTGGATATCACTCTTAAGGATAGAAAATTAAATTATTTAAGCTCAGGAGAAGTAGTTAAGTCATACAATGAATTAGTTGAAATTAATCAGAGAGAAAATGACAATTATTTTTTAAAAACAGGCTTTCACTCTCTAGATCTAAAGATTAAAGGGTTTAAGCCTGGTCAGTTTTTAGTGATCGCTTCTAGACCTGGAATTGGTAAGACTACATTTGCATTAAATTTAGTGAATAATAATTTATCTAAAGTGACTCCTCCATTTTCATTGTCCAAGGAGAGCGCAATAGGAATATTTTCACTCGAAATGATTAATGAAATAATTATTGAAAAGTTAATTGCAATGGACTCTAAAACAGAATTATTTACATTACAGAGATTAATGGAGGGAAAAAAAGTAGAAGATCAAGATTTAGATGTAATAGAATCATCTAAGAAAAAAATTTCACAAGCGAATTTACTTTTTTGTGATGATGCAAATATAACTCTTGGGAAGATAATAGCAACTATCAAATTATGGAGTAGAAAATATTTATTGAGATTAGTAGTTATTGATTACCTGCAATTAATTAATTTGCCATTAGACAAGGAATTTAGTAATATAAGTTCTAATCAAAAAATTAGTCTGATTTCTAGACAATTAAAAATTCTTTCGATAGATCTAAATATTTGCATTCTCTCTCTTTCTCAACTGAATAGAAAATTAGAAGAAAGAAAGGGAGCTGAAAAAGTTCCAATGCTTTCAGATTTACGAGATTCAGGCTCTATCGAACAAGATGCAGATATTGTGATTTTTTTATATCCTACTATGAGTAAAAAATCGAGAAACTTAGAACCTCTGGACGATCTAGATCTACAATCATTGGAAGGTGAAGAACAGGACTCTTATGAGGTTTCACTTAAAATTGGGAAAAACCGTTACGGTCCTACTGGAATTATTCGATTTAATCACAATCGAGAATTTGGAAAATTCTCCCTTAGTAGATAAAGGTAGTAAGGGGGAGTAAATCCCCCTTATTTAACTTATTTTTTTATTTTGGTGCGTTTAGAGGGAATCGAACCCACACATCCTTATAAGATACTAGCTCCTAAGGCTAGCGCGTCTGCCAGTTCCGCCATAAACGCTTAAAAATTCATTCTGGTGCCGAATACAGGATTCTAACCCATCTCAATCGATTACAAGTCGATCGCTTTTACTACTAAGCTAATTCGGCGTTGGTGGAATGTGAGGGATTTGAACCCCCGACCTACTGCTTGTAAGGCAGTTGCTCTCCCACTGAGCTAACATTCCGCAGTGGCGATCTGTATGGGATTCAAACCCATGCGTGCATGCGTGAAAGGCATGTGTGTTAATCACTTCACCAACAGACCTATTTAACTGGCGGCCACAGCAGGGATCGAACCTGCGACCAAACGGTTAACAGCCGTTTGCTCTACCACTGAGCTATATGGCCATGCTGCTCAAAACTTTTAAAAAAACTTTCTAAAAAACTAACGGACAAAATAACTTTTTACATCGTAAATTTAGTCCATATAGAGACTAAACGAGTCTTAGATTGATTGTAAATTTTGCACTTTATTATCACTAATACACTTTATTTATGTCGCCCCTTAGCTCACTTTGTAATCACCCAGATTTTTCCCAGACTCGAGATACCAGAAATTTAACACTTAAGACTACTGGAGGGATCTCCTTCCAGTATTTTTGATCATTAAAAGACAAAAGAACAAAGTTAGCTCTAATACTACTTCTTTCTATTATTTCAGGATTCCTAAATTTCTTTTTTGTAGAACGAGCCGGAATTTACAATCCAGGTATTTTTTCTATCTGACAGTCTTTAGCGAGATTATTAAAAAGTCGATTGGATGCTACAAGTGGAAGAATAGTTTATCTCGTATTCTTCTGAGGAATTAACTCACTAATGAATATTGCTTTAGCTTGTATGACATATAAAGGAATTGGTAGAGAGATGACAAAATTAAGTATTTTTTTCATTATCGGTTCAGCAACAACTGGACTAATATTGTCCAATTTACCTCAAGATTGAAAATTAAGAGAATTCTATATATTCTCTAATCCATTTTCAAAGAATAGTGAATTGTCACAAAATAATGGGGTAGCTTTTCTTACTTGAGAAACCAATATATCTACAATTCAAAATTCATCTAATTCGGGAGAGTCCAAGGGAATTATTGTTTTATTTATGTATGCAATAATTTTTTCCACTTTAAATGCATTAATCTCTTCTGTCTTATATGCATTAGAAGCTTGTAGTGGGGGAGTAGATTGAATTATTTTTTACTTATTTAAAACAAAATCTTATTTTGCAAATAAATTGATGTTTTATATAGGTCTTTTTATTTCTGCTTTTTCGTATGTTATTGGAAGCTATCTTCCTTGAGCAATTAATAATGGAAATAATAAAAAATTAGTCTCAAATTTCTTTTCTCCTTTATTTTTCGCACTCTTAAGTTCTATACTTGTAAGAAAATTAATTTTTAAGATTTTTTATCCTAGATTTGAATATGTAAATGTAAAGATTTTTACTGGAAAAATGTGAGATATTCGAACTGCATTAATTGATGAAAAATTTAGACATAGTTTTACTATAGTTCCTTCCTATGGAAGTTATTTATTGAAAGCGCAATATCAATTGGAATTTGTATGTCTATTAATTGAATTGCAAGAATTAGTGCGAATTATTAGAAAAATAGATAAGGATTGTTTTATTTGCTCATTACCAGTTAGATCTTTAAATGCCAGAATAGGAATTTAGAAAGATGTTTAAAGCTAGTGCATTTATTCATGGAGATGCAATAAATGATCCTAAATTAAAAGAATGTCAACTATTTTCTGCGGTTGACGGAACTTTAATAGGGACAATTCCACTATTAGATGATGAACACAAAATTAAATTATTTGAATCATCAAAAGAAGGTTTTAAAAAATGGAGTCAAGTAGATGCCGAGACTAGGGAAAAGTATTTATTTTTGTTTGGATCTAAATTGAAAGAACATCAAAAATGATTGACTCAGTTAATTCAGTTAGAGAGTGGAAAGGGTGCAAAGGAAGCAGAAAAAGAAGTTATTAGGAGTGTGGAATATATAACTGAGAGCGTTCATGCTTTTCACTATTTACACAAAAATCCTAGGGAGTTTAATTCAGAGAAATATCCATTAATTCCAGAAAATTTACAAGCTGTTTATTTAAGAGTTCCTCTCGGTGTAGTATTATCTATTACTCCATTTAATTATCCATTAAATTCTGTAATTACAAAAATAGTTCCTGCAATTCTGATGGGAAATTCTGTTATTCAAAAATCAGCTATGAATGGAGCCTTGACTGGTTGATTAGTTTGCAAAATTTTTAATGATTTAAGATTGGATGGTTTTTTGATTACTCCCGGGGTTCTGAATTATTATACAGGTTCTGGAAGCGAATTACAAGAATTTTTAGAGAGTAAACAAGTAGGGATTAATGCTTTATCTTTCACTGGGAGTAGAGAGTCGGGAATATCAATTGCAAGAGCTTTGCCTGGAATTCCTCAATCTCTTGAATTGAGTGCTATAAATGTTGCTCTTGTATTAGAGAATGCGAGTCTTAAATTGACAGCTCAAGAAATTTTAAATGGAGCATTTACATTGAGTGGTCAAAGATGTACATCTCTTCAACTTGCTTGTATTCCTAAATCAATATTTGGTAATTTTCTGCAAGAAATAACTCTTCAATTAAATGACATTAAGATAAAACAAACCCCGATAGTTAATTCAAGCGTTTTTGAAAAAATTAAAGAAGCTTATGACGAGGCTATTTTTAAAGGAGCAAGAGTAGTTACAAATCAAATAAATTGAAATTTACTAAAAAAACCTTATTTGGAAAATATAGTTCTTTCGGGAGTGTCATTTGATATGAAAATAGCTAGGGAAGAACTTTTTGGACCTATTTTAGGTTTAATTGAATATACGAGTATAGAAGATACTATTGAAAAGATTAATCAGATAGGATATGGTTTGCAATCATCAGTATTTGGAAAGAATTTCAATCAAACTATAGAGCTCGCTTCTAAATTGGATGTAGGTCGAATAAATATAAATATGGCTCCAGCAAGATCTCCAGATTTTTTACCCTTTCCTTCATCCCGAAAGTCGGGAAATAGCGAACAAGGAATTATTAACTCTCTTTATTTCTTTTCAAAGTTCAGAGGAGTAGTATATCAGTCGACTATGGATCGGAAAAAAATTGATGAAAAATAATGTTAGTTTAATAGAATCTTCTATTAAACTCTAAAATTTAAAGAAGTGTGTTTTTAGCTGTTTTAGGAGTTTAAAAGTATTATTTTTTTACTTAAATTGACTCAAAAATTTTAAAGAATATGGAGTCTATTAAAAAAGATAAAAAGTACTCTAAAAAAGTGAATAAAGAGTTATCAGATAATAAAAAAATTCTAGATAACAATATTGCGGGAAAAATTTTGGAGACTTATGAGGATGAAGATATTCAGGTTTTAGAAGGGCTTGATCCTGTTAGAAAAAGACCGGGAATGTATATTGGTTCTACGGGTGTTGAAGGATTACATCATCTCATTTGGGAAGTGTTAGACAACGCTGTTGATGAAGCCGTTGCTGGTTATGCTAACAACATTAAATTGACACTAGAAGAAGATCGAATTGTCTCGGTCGAAGATGATGGCAGAGGGTTGCCAACGGGAATTAATCCTCAAACAGGAGAGCCTACAATTGTAACCATTTTTACTCGACTTCATGCTGGAGGAAAATTTGACAATACTAGCTATAAAGTTTCTGGAGGGTTACATGGAGTTGGAGTCAAATGCGTTAATGCACTGTCTTCCTTTTTTGAAGTTATGACAACCAGAAATGGGGAGACTTACTATGCAAAATTCTTGCAAGGAGGCAGTGAATATGTTGGGCCAAATTTAATTGAAAAAGATCCCACTATTTCTTCAGGTACAAAAGTAAGATGGAAGCCTGATTTTTCAATCTTGGAAGAGAATCAATACGATCCCACTCTAATAAAAGAAAGGTTAGAGAGACTTTCTTTTTTAAATAAAAAAATTGCATTCACTTTCGAGAATAAATTAACAGGAGAAAAAGAAATTTTCAGATCAGAGGGGGGACTTTCTGATTGAATCGAAAACATAAATCAAGGTTACGATACTGTCTATCCGATTCAAACTTTTGTTATGGAAAAGCAAAAAATTGAAAAAAAAGGAAAAACAAACACTTTAGAATTGGAAGTTTCTTTTCAATATATATCGAGTAAAAATAGAAGTACAATATTTAGTTTCTGTAATAATGTGTTTACTCCTTTGGGAGGATCTCACCTGGAATCAATCAAAGAGGGATTACTATCTTGTGTAAGAGAAATTGCATTCAATGAGACTAAAAAAATCAAAAATATTTATGAATTGACTAAAGAAGATATTATTTCAGGCTTGAGTATGATTCTTTCAGTTAGATATACTGACCCCTCTTATAAAGGTCAAACTAAAGAGTCTTTAGTTAATAATGAGATACGATCAGTAATTAAGAACGAGATTGATCAAAAACTTCACTTCTTTTTCGAGGAAAATCCGAGCGGAAAAGAAGCAATACTTATGCATATTGAAGAAGCTAGACAAAATAGACTTCACCGAGAAGCAATTAATGAATTTGATAAAGAAATACATAGAGATAATTCGTTAGAGTTTGCAGAAAAACTGGCAGATTGCACTATTAAAAATCCCGATTTTTCTGAACTTTATATAGTAGAGGGAGATTCTGCTGGAGGTTCGGCCAAAAGTGCTAGAAATCGAGAGTTTCAAGCAATATTACCAATTAAGGGAAAATTGATTAATGTTGCAAAATTAAGTAGTTGAGCAAAAGCTTCAAAGAATCAAGAAATAGGAAATTTGATAACAGCAATTGGTTGTTCACATTCATCTAATTTTGATATAGAAAAGTTGAAATATAACAAAATTGTGTTAATGACAGATGCAGATGTAGATGGATCTCATATTCGAATTCTTATTCTTACTTTCTTATATAAATATATGACGCCTTTGATAGAAAATGGAAAGATTTTTATAGCTCAACCCCCTCTTTATAAAGTGTCATCGAAAAAAGAAACAAAATATTTGTGAACAGAGGAAGAGAGAAGAGATTTTGAAAAACAAAAGAGTAAAAATTCAGGATTTGAGATTAGTAGATTTAAAGGCCTTGGGGAAATGTCTCCTGCACAGTTGTGAGAAACAACTATGGATCCAGATAGGAGGACTTTCCTTCAAGTGAAAATTTTGGATCCGGAACGGTCAGACAAAACTATTGAGGATTTAATGGGTAGGGAAGTGCAACCGAGAAAAGTATTCATCAGAGATAATTACTTTATTGCTAACTTAGATATTTAGAGATGTCAGCTAAGCTTTCAGGACATCTTGAAAGGATATTAGAAAATCTT